AAAAAACTACAAAAGCATCCAGGCCGTGATACTATAATATTTATATTATTACTACTACCTAACTACTATATACCTATTGAATAAAACAGGTGATACTCTGATGAGTATCTTATATGATTCATACCAATATTTTACCACACGCTTGCCGCGAAGCGTTTTTAACAGATTAATGAACATAATACATACATAACTCTATTTTTTGTCATTTACGTGTTAATTGTTGATTTGTTGGTTTGTTACAAGTTTTTCTTTTTATACTGCTGCGGGCAACAGTTTTGCTTGCGTTCGCGCATGAAATACCATTCATGGGGAAAAATGTATACGGTTTTTTTCAAGTCTGTTAAATGATGATTATTATTTTATAAAGCGAGCCACTTATAACAACATACAGAAAAAGGATAGCCATACTTGTCAGTTATCCATTTCATCATTTGTTCTGCGTCTTTTTAACATGACTATTTTGTATGAATGATCATTAAACGTAAGCGAATTTAAAAGATATTTGACGGAAAAAGTATGTGTATGTAATGAATTTATTCGCATGACGAATTTTTAATTTCATTGTATCTATTTATCGGGTTTATGCACGAATTCTTTATAAAATTTTTCTTCTACTTTTTTTTCTAAAGCCAAAAATAATTTTAAAATTTTTGTGTGTCTGAGTATGATTGAAATTATTAATTGCTTAAAAAGAACTTAAAAAATTAAATTAATGATGAATACGATTATAATAATTATCGTAATTGTAATTATTTAAGTAATTAAATATAATGAAATAACATATAAAACGTAATAGAAATCTCACTGCCGATAAGTTTTTCTTGCGTTCGGTAAATATACATGTTGCGATTTAATGAAAATATTTATTTTTATTTTTTTTTTATTATACCATTTCGCAAGCTGATGTACTTATACTCGTCTTTTATGTACGCGTGCGAGCGGAAGTATTAATTTCTCATTAATCTTACTGTAAGCAGAAGTCATTTTTGTCCAGCGTCATGTGCCGTAAAAAATTCTTGATTGTAGATTTATATCTTATTATTTAATGTTGGAATCTACGAAAATGTACAGATAAAAAATCTGAAAAAGCGAGTAAGCAAAAGATATCGGAAATGCATTTGCCATTGCACGTTATAGAGATATTTGTATCGTACTTATAAGATTATGGGAAAGAATTGAATCTCAAATGCCACGCGATTATAAGAGGAGTAGAAAAAAACTCATATTGTATTTATATTGTAGATATACCTATAGTTTAAAGACAAAAACTAAACAGGGCTAACTTAAGTAATTCATGTTAAGATCGTGAGAGTACAGTTTTTCTATTATCAATTGGCGATTCCGAGCACTTTTAATTATTATTGTTACATTCAAAATATCGAATATTTCGGCAACACGCCGACTTACACACACGATATCAAACTGTTAATTGTGTACTTGAGTCGTTTTCGTTCTATTAATGTGCAATCTACGAGCATTGAAAAGCTAAATTTAAGATTATTCAATCTGTTGACTGTGCACCGACCAATTTCTTAAAATGCCGTTTTTATAAGAATTTATTTTTGAATTAACTTGTAAAGAAGAAACTGCAAAGCAAATGCAGCATCAAATCAAATAGCAAGCTATTGTACTCTTACTTCTTGTCGAAAATTACAATGCATATCGTAAAGTCATGGAGCAAGCAAATGCGTAATATCCAACAATAATTACGAAAACGAGTTCAAGTTTCACAAAGTCAAATAATTTAGATCTAAACTGTTATAATTGAAAATTTAAGGTGCTTTCTAGTTTATTACGTAAATTTATGTACTTATGTATTATTATTGTACTGAAATTGGCAAGTAACTCTATTCTTTACTCTTGCAAAATTTTGTTTTCACCTGTTGATTCGTATTACATCTATCATTGTGTTAATATCCTCAATTCTATTTTTCATCCTCTCATTTTCATTAGCATGTAAGCGTTTGAACTTGCCAAGTTTAAATAAATAATTTCAACGATTACATTACGTTTTTATTTCATTTTTTTCCTTTATCATTTCATTATGTATACTCCCTGTATAATTTCATGACAATATTGCATCTATATCCATTTGTAACAATCGCACGAGATTAACAGAAATATTTTTACATGCAGTCACGATATCATCTTAACCGATAATTGTAAGAATACTTGAAATTGACACGACAAAGGAAAAATTATGTAGCAATGCAAGAATGCGAAACATACAGTGAAAAGCGCCAATTATCAAGCATTTTTCGCTACATCGAAGAAGCTCGTGTTTCGCGGGTTTCGTGCCTTTTTATAGCCTGCGTAAATCCATTATTCTAACACCATTAAGAGTAAAAATCGCAGGTATTCACAGTTCCTAAAATTGCCTCTACATCTACTCAAACAAGTAATGTAAAGGCTGAAATGCATTCGTAATTAAACGAGTGCAAATTGTAAAAAAAAACAAATTAAGTCAAACGAATAATGACATTGTATACGATAATTTTCATAATCATTAACATAATTGTGATGAAGCATCACATAGCATAAAAATATAAAATAAATTATTGTTTGAGCCGATGTATAAAACACCCAATTGTGTATGATGCTTGATAATTAAAGTAAAAAAATATGGTTTTATAGTGTACACGTTTTTATTATTTCATTAGACGTCAGTATAATCAAATGTCTATGGAAATAATGTGAAATGCATAAAATTTTTTTAATGTTTTTTTGCTTTCTCGAAAAATGTAATAAAGAATATTTTTAAAAACTTAAAAAATGCATTTGTTTATTGATTTTGTAAATGTTTACAAATATACGCTTATTGATTTGTATACAATCTTTAAATATTAAATAACATTTGAAGATAGAGAACACTCGATATTTTTGTTAATTATTGCAAAAAATTGGGAAAATTTATGTCGATAACTTTCAAAATGATCAGTTCTCGAGTAAAAAAATTTATTTTTTATTTTTGATTTTTATTTACAAAATCGCGATTCATTTTACCCACTTGGACGTCGTAAGTGTAAAATATAAAAAAAGCTTGCTCTGATTACGAACTAAATGAGAACTGTCAGAGAGACGCTTACTTTGTAAAAAAAATGCTCAATTAATTGATTATTTACAAAATTTTCAATAACTTTTTAATCTTCATAGTGTAATGAACAAGGAAGTTTAAATCGAAGACTGGTTGCGCGCCATTGGCATGCCATGTGAACTGTGGTGGCAGCAATTACAGTCGAAAGTAAGCGTGGCCGGTGGAGAACCTGACCGAGTTTCTAACCTCTGTCGTTTTTATTTTTTTTTAGTACACTGAAGAGACTAATATGTAAGTTTGATTTGTTTATTTATATTAATAATTATTTATATCAATTATTTAAATTAATTTTATCAAAGAAATTTGTTGAAATTGCAAACTTTAACAGAGTGCAACTTGTTTTCATTATAAGATATTAGAGTACCGTAAAATAAACTAGTTACACGAGTGTATTTGTTTTAACGGTTTCAATATCGATTAAGCAACTGTAACAATTAACTTGACAACAATAAAAACAATTGAATAAAAATAACTATCTGTAGAAATTATCTTTGTGTATTAACTTAATCAAAATTAATTCAGATCTTTTGTTTTTCCATTGTAACAGCTCATCATGGGCAAGGGAAATAATATGGTGCCCAATGGGCATTTCCATAAGGACTGGCAGCGGTATGTCCGCACCTGGTTCAACCAGCCCATGCGAAAAATCCGCAGAAGGACCAATCGCATCAAGAAAGCACGCTCTGTTGCCCCAAGGTAAGTTATCAGTTATTTTGTATTCCAAACTTCTTCCAATTATGTGTTTTTGGCATTCATGATACTAATCATATAAACTACTCTTGCAGGCCAGTTCAGGCTTTCAGACCATCAGTACACTGCCCAACCCAGCGTTACCACAAGAAGGTCAGGGAAGGTAGAGGATTCACCCTCGCTGAACTTAAAGCTAGTGGGCTCAACAAACGCTATGCCCAGACCATTGGCATCGCTGTCGATCCCCGCAGAAGGAACAAGTCAATTGAAAGCCTTCAACGAAATGTCCAAAGGCTAAAGGAATATAAGACAAGACTTATTTTGTTCCCTCTGAATCCCAAAAAGGTATGTTGCAAAAGTCTCTTCTTTGTTTTTAATTAAACTTTGAATTAACATCTAAAAATACAAAATATTTTAATCTATTTGTCATGTGGTTATTCATGTTTATGAAAGTAATTGCCAAGGGATATTTTCTAAAACCAACAATTTCATGTTTTTCAGATCAAGAAGGGAGAGACTGAACAGTCACAAGCTGTAACTCAAATTAAGGGCAAAGTGATGCCAGAGGGTGTTAAGGCTCCATCCGCCAAATCAATGGCCCGAGTCATCACTGAAGATGAAAAGAAATTCAATGCTTACGTTGCATTGAGAGTTGCCAGAGCCGACGCTCGTCTTGTTGGCATCAGAGCAAAACGTGTCAAGGATGCATCTGAAAATCCAGATGATGTTACCAAAGTCAAGGACAAGAAAGCAAAAAAATAAGTTCATCGACACTGTATTATGTTTATTAAATTTTAGAATAGATTTTATAATAAAATGAAATATCATAATATAATTAGATGAAATAAATTTTTTAATGAAATATTCGTGTCACACAATATCTATGAATTGGGACCCAGCATCTACCCAAATTTTTCCTACATAAAATGACAAAAGGAATTAGTCTTATTTTTTCTTATTTTTGATATATAAAAAGAAGCTATGATCGATGATTTTAATTTAAAAAAAAAAAACTTAACTTTGATTTATCTTTTATTATTTTTTTATTTAACATCTTTAACAGACGCTATTACTATCATTGTAATTGTAATTATTATTACATTTTATTATTATTACGACTCGACTTTAGAAAAAATTGGATACTATCAGATAACGTGCAATCTTCATTGCCAACAGTACGCGAAAAACATAACCCTGTTTACACACATAACTTGTCAATGTTTTTGTATGCATGATGTACGTCAGTTCCTAGCAGGCGATGTCAGAACTTCATCAGAAAAGTTGATAAAAAGAGTATAAACATTTATAGTGTCTTCTAAAATAGTGTAGTCGAGTAAAGATGTCGGTGAAAATCGGCCAGAGGGTTGAAATTGCTGGCAAGGATTGCCAGGGCGTTATCGCCTATGTTGGTCATCCAGCTTTTGCTGCAGGCAAGTGGATTGGTGTCATTCTTGATGAGCCAAAAGGGAGAAATAATGGCACCATCAAAGGGCAGTTTTATTTTAAGGTAGTGTAACAGGACTAATTGAATGAAACTAATTGCCTATGTAAGAACTTGACAGTAAAAAACCAACTTTCTCTTCAATATTGTAATTATTGATTTTGCTTACTTGGTAAGCCAATTAATTTCTTAAATTTTTGTCAATGAATTTCATTAATATTTTTTGGTTCTCAAAAAGCAGTCACATATTTAAAATTCAAATTTATTCAGGTCCCTTTATTAATATTTCGCATACTCATTATTTGAATACCCAAAGTCTAACAATTTTCTTTCTGCATTTGTAACAGTGTCCTGACAATCATGGAATGTTTGTGAGGCAAACTCAATTAATCATGCTTGATGATGCTGGGAATAGACAGGATTCTGCAAGCCCAGCCTTATCTGCTAGTGCTAGTGGTCAAACTACTCCAGATGAAGTTGGAGCATCAAGAGCAAGAAGTCGTCTAACAACGTAAGTGCAGTATACTAAATTATTTATTAGCTAATTATTTATTAGTTACGATTATAATCTTTGATAATTTTTCAATAATTATTATAATTAGGATTCTTTAGTATTTTTGATACATTTTTATATAAGTAGAAACGTAATTGATAAGCGTATGCTGAAAGCTAGAATACTTCATGTTAGCATGGACGAATGAGTTTGTGATTTTCATAATAATTATGTAATTAATACATTTTTGAGTTCATTTGAAATTTTTTTAATCATAGTTCTCCATGAGTTTTTGGTACAATTATTTTTCCTTTTTAAATTAATAATTTTAAAATTATGCATTTGCCTGTATCCTAAAAAGAAACAGAGTCTGTATGCAAGTTATGTTTCTTAATAACATACATTAGCTCAAATTTTTAATTTCACCGTAGTGCTGCAGTACGACAAAGGAATCAACCAACAGCGTAAGTTTTCTGAAATAATAGTTTATAACATGTTTTTAATCACCAATTGGTTCTAACTGACCGTGAAAAAAAAATTAATTCAATTTTAACATGCCTACGCTGCTATACAAAGTGTTCGGAGAAAAACGTCACCAGCAAAAGTTATACAACATACAGAAAAACTTTCAGGGTAAGAAGTGAATGAGACAAAATGGTCAAAAACTGTGTTTGGTTTCATTATATAAATTCTGCTTTTCATTGAATCCATCGTGTGTCACTTTTATGTTTGTGTTTTTGTAAAATTGGTACTTGAAAATCAACTTTTTTTAAGATGACTACTTTGAAAGTTTTTTTAAACGATCATTCTTATATTTTTAGTTAGTCTATTTGTATATTCTTGTGTGATTATGATTAATGTTTAAATACAACAATGCTTCGTTGGATCTGCAGGTTTGTTTTCTGTTGTGTAGTTACTTTTTAGGTTTTCATTTTTAAATTTTATTTACACCATCTATAAGTGTTGAACTATTGTCACAAACATGTACATGTATCGCTACTTTATTAATAAAATTTATGGCCCAATTTTAAATATTTAACATCAATATTTTACGTATAAAAGCGCTCGTTTGAAAAAACTTATTTTGATAATGAACATTCAAACAAACAATATTTAAAATACCAAATTCTGACAATATTAATACCTAATAAACTAAGCCTATCTAATGTAAATTAATATTTATATCGATTTCTTTTAAAAATCTTCGATTCTTTAAAAAGTTAAATCAAGGTTGTAACAGTCGCTTCAGAAAGACTTTTTTAAAATTTTAATCAAATTTCAATTATTCTCACTACGATCGCTCCTCACTGAAGCTTAAAAACTGCGTTTGACATTTAAATTTGCATTAATTTTTAACTCTACTTTTTTTCCTTTTCATGTCACAGCTCTAGATTATCGTTGAGTGGTAGCAGAACTCAATTGAAGGCTCCTAGTACCGAAAACCTTAGCACAACTAGTGGCTATGAACGTAAGGATGCCGGAGAGTCTCACATACCCGCACCGATGACAGTGATCAAACGAGCTTCTTTCATCGAGGTATTTTAAAAATGCTCACTCAGTCATTTCTTTACAATTTTCCCCCTACATATTTAATTGTGTTTTTTAATCAATACCTATATCTGGTTTTCGGGACTATTACGTTTATCTTTTAAAAAAATCAATTTATTGATACTAATTGACAATGAAATATTAAGTGAAATGTTTCATAGATCAAGAAGCTAAATTCATAAAAATTCTGTAAGCAATAGATGAATACTTTAAATGTTTATTTTGTTCTGGTTGAGGTAAGTTTATGGTTTGATAAGTGTTTTCTTGAAGACGTAAAATCTATTCTCACTGCATCACTTTCTGACTAACTAGAATGCTGAAAAGATCAGTTTCAACCATCACGATAAAAGCAATGGGACAAACAATTTAAATAATGGTTGAAGTATAATGTCGGAAAAATTGTTGAACGAAGTAATGCACGGCTATTTTCTTATCTTATTTTTCCGAACAAATTCTTGTACAGCACAGCCACCAAAATATGTTGCAAATACTGTACTATTGCTTTTCACAAGTGTGCCTTGTGAAAACATTCTTCAGAGGAAAACATGTTCACTCACATGAAACTACGTGTTTTGCAGAAAAATCCTAGCACGAGTGCCGCTTCCAGCAAAAAATCAAAGACGTCCGAAGAACACGACAATGTAATTAATACTCAATAATTTTTTTGTTTTCAGTTTATCTATATATGCCTCCTAACGTTAATAATCAGTGTTTATTTAATGGTTTTAATATAATGTATCATTTTAACTTCGTTATTAATCCCCTCGATCATTCACCATAAAAAATGACACTCATTTATCAAGTTCGTTTGAAAATCGTGTATTTTTTCTTACGCGTATATTATAACAAAAATTTAAAAAATTGCATAAATAGTCAATATCTGTGGCTCTCTAAAGTATGATGTTGACAGAAAAAGTATGAAAAACGATTTTTAAACGATCTTGAAAAATGTAACAAATATATAAATCTATATATATTATAAATTGTTAAAAATCAATTACAGAGTCAATCACAAGTGTTCTAAAAAATAATTGCTTGAAAAATTTTACCGCATGATCCGTAATCTGTATTTTCTTGTTGCTTTCATGCATAACTAGTATATAATTTACCACAACACCTACACTAAAAAAATTTAGTCATGAATATCCCATGGAGCTTTTCACTGATTGGACAAATGTCACATTTTTTCTTTAACTCTAGCTATTATCAGAGGGCAGTTTTGATTGTATACTTTCCTGAAATTGAATATTCATTTTAACAGTATGCAATCATCGCTCTCATAATTACGGCGATCCATTTGCTTTTTTATATCATTTTGAAATTGTGTTCATCTGCTGTAAATATTTTTTTCTCATTCAATTTATAGCAGGTGGGCATACATTTCGACTAATGAAAAAATTTAGATATTTAGGTTTACTGTTTAGGAGTGTTTACTAATTCTCACCACGAAGCAAGATATGTCACGTGCATTTTCATGTCATAAACATTGGAAGCTGTCGCCAAAGAAATATGTGTTGCAAAACTTTCTATTTTATATACATAGATAAAGTCGATATTTTTAGTGACTGTGATAGACCACTATGATTGCATTGCTTTTATGTTACTATCTTAACTAACTGAGTGTTTAACTTTAATTGAAAAAGAGAACTTTGTGGTAATTAGAAATAATTAGTAATACTAACAACGTTCTCTGGAAAAATAATATTAGTCCCTTGACCGCCTAAAATTTAAATGTTCATAAAACTGAAAAATTAATAATAATTAGGGTGATCATAATACTTATACGAGCATCAGTTTTTCGAGTAACACGTGTAATGGGTGATCTAAAAACATCTTTTACATTGACAAATATTTCGTTCGATTTTGCGTAACAAAAGATTTTTTGTTCTACCATACAGACGGGCTTTGTAGAAAATCTAAAGCCACAATTCGTTCCTGGTCAGGCAATAGGTCCAAGTGCAATATCCAACACGATGGAAGAGAAACTTTCGCTTCTTCAAGCTCAGCAAGAAAATGATAATCTGAAAGCACAAATAAAGGATTTGAACGAACGCATCGAAGTGTTGCGCGTGAAGAGGATGCAAGACAAAGACAAGATGAAGGAGTTTGAAAAGGTTCGACTGCAGTGCGAGCAGCTCATCGAATTTAAAAATAAAGTCATGGAGACTCAGGTACTTATCTCAAGCGAAACAAATTTTGCTCATTTAATTTTTGCCCTAATCGAAACTGTCCCCTAGGCTTCTTTGCAAAGAGATTTACAAAGGGCTCGTCAAGAGGCTCGAGACGCTCACGCGGCCCGCGAGCAATATCAGGATGAAATGGCTGATTTGTCTGAAACCGTAGAAATGGCTACGCTCGACAAGGAAATGGCCGAGGAAAAGGCCGAAACTCTACAAATTGAGCTCGAACAACTGAAAGAAAAGCTCGAGGAGCAATCGTTGGATCTGGAAATTTTACGCAATGAAATGTCAGAAAAGGTACGCTGCAACGTTCAAATGGATATTTTTTTTCATTTAAATAGCAGAATTAGTAATGATAAAATTATTAATTATTGTACAGATGGGCAGCGGAGGTGTGAGAGAAAATGCCACGAGTTTTGAAGTCAAACAATTGGAGCAGCAAAATACCAGGCTTCGCGAGACTCTTGTGAGAATGCGAGATTTATCGGCTCACGAGAAACACGAGTTCCAAAAATTACAAAAAGATCTCGAGCAAAAGAAATCGGAAATTCTGGAGCTGAGCAGAACAAAAGAGAAGCTTTCCGCTCGAGTTGAGGAGATGGAGCATCAAATAGCTGATTTGCAGGAACAAGTGGATGCTGCGATGGGTGCCGAAGAGATGATCGAAGTTCTTGGAGAACGCAAGATAGCTTTGGAGGAAAAAGTAGCTAAATTAGAAGAGGAAGTATCGGATTTGGAGGCCCTTCAGGTATTTGAACATTATTTAGAAATAATATTAAAATTAACTCTTAGCTTATAATTGTATATTATTTCAACAGGATACGACGGATCAATTGCTCGAGTCATCGAAGGAGCTCGAATTGGAGTTACGCGAAGAATTAGACATGGCTCTCAGCGCAGCTCGAGAAGCACAGCGTCAGAGAGACGCGGCTCTGGAGACTCTATCGGATAGAGAATTGACCATTTCGAAATTCCGCGAGCTCACCCAAAAACTGCAAGTCCAGTGCATCGAATTGCAAGAGAAATTGCAATCGACGGGTGGTGTGAAAGGACAGACCGGGCAGCAGCTCGCTGAAATTTTAGATTTCCAGAAGACGTTCGCCGAGAGTCGAGCGCAGACCAAAGCCGTCGACTTGGAGTTGAGGCGGCTGGATGCCGAGGAGGCACGAGCCCACGTCAACTACTTGCTGTCGTTCATGCCGCCGGCGTTCATGAGTCGCGGCGGCGATCACGATGCCATTTTGACGTTGCTCTTGATTCCCAGGACGATACAGAAAACCGATATCGTCGTCTCCCAGGTCAGAGACAAGTACAAACTCGTCGAGAAAGTCGACAGGGCGTCGGTGCTCAAAGGTCACGCGGTGGCGCAGGCGGCCTTCAGCTCCCGACTGGCCGCGCACATGTACAGCTTGCAAACGTCGCTGGGCTGCTTCGATTCGGCCCTCAAAGCCTGCAGCACGGAAAACTTATTGAAATTGGGAAGCGCGTATCCGGAGATAGCTGCCCAGGAGAAGGCCGTCGATTCGTTGATCGAGCTCGCGAAACGAGATCAGCTCGATGAGAATCTCGCGATGGAGGCTATCGAGCGCTGCTGCGCCTACTTCTTCACCCTCTACGGCGTGTACTTCGGCGAAGAAGATTTCGCCAATCAAGCAAAGCTAGTTTACAATGGGACTAAGTGAGTACGATTGTTATACCAAGCGAGAAGACTCGACGCTAACATCGATTATTTGATTTTCAAGGTGCATCGGCAGTGCTTGCGAAGCCATACGAGTGGAGGCGGCAGCCCTAAAAACTCTCATAGACGGCGAGCCAGGGGACATGGGTCTACTGTGTCAACACATCGAGCTGACCTGCAATTCGATCGAGCAAAATTTGAAATCAGCCAGAAGACGCGTTCCCCGCGACTCTCTGAACGCGTCGACTCCCAACGAGGCTCATCTCGGCCTCGAGCAGCACTGGTTCGAGCAAATACAGAACTGCTACGATCACGCCGTAAAACTGATGCGCACCCTGCACGATCTCGTGAAAAGCACGCTCCAAGCTGTACAAAGTTCCGGAGGTGAGTTGATTTTTCAATCGGTTATTCGATTATACGCTTTCTCCACCACCTCTCCTCGCAATCAAGATCTTTTTCTATAAGGTCTCGCGGCGCCTGCCAAATTGACGTTTAATTGACGTTCGAGGTGATCAATTTTCCCAAGATGCTTAATTGAGCGTGTACTGTTTGCGAGAAAAGAACGACTTTTTGAAACGCAAGCGCGCACTCGATTACCAGTGATCCAATTTTTCCCGGGCTTGAATGCCTCATTAAGCACGTTTTATTGGGAAGCTGAAATTGGGTCAGTGATCGAACTTTTTTTTTTTCAATCAAAGAAAACGATTCGAAAACTCGATTTATCCCGAGACGTTCGCCCGGCGATTCAATTCTCGGAATTTAGACATTTCAATTATCGCGATGAAAGGAAAAAACATATTTATTGTATTACTTTTGTTTTTCAAAAAGCATCCGTGGAGCAAGAGAAAGGTTTGAGCTCGCCGCGTATGAAGGAAATGGCTGCCGCATCGACGGAAAAAGTCTACGAATCCGACGACATTGGTGCAATCGCAACTATAAAAGCCAGCCTCGGCGTGATACAAAAAACCGCTTCCAATCTGTCCGAGCGCATGTCCGAGTGCGAAAACGAACTGGCAATGAGCAGTACCTCGGCGTCGCAGAAGAAATTATCTAACGCGGAGGAAACGAGTCCTATCTCCATCAGAGCGCAGGCGGCTCGAAAAGAGCTCGAGGAAACGAAAATTCTCACGAGGTAAGTAAAAATAACGAGCAATGAATTTGGCGACGCGGAGGAAAAAAAAACTCGTCTCGTATATTCTTGCTGTATTCGAGCGCGCATACGTGCAATTTTACAAAAATGCCATGTTTACTCTACATATGCTAAGTCATAATGTACTTACATTTTTTTTCCTCGTAGAAAACTCGAGGCGAAAGACAGCGACATACGCGAGTCCAAATTGGCTCTTCGCGAGAAGCAAGAAGAGCTGTCTGAGATGATCTTGAGAAAAGAATTGGCCGAAAAGCGCCTAGCGACGCAACAGCACGAGCACGAGCTAGCTATCGAGAAACTCAAGAGAAACTTGGAGGAGGTGCAGACTCAATTAAGAAGAAAGGTTTGTATTCTATTTTCCAACTGCATTATTTAGTTAAATTTGATTTTTGGCAAGAGTTTGATTCTCAATTATTATTTAATGGTTCTTAAAATCATTTTATCTCTTTCTCTCTCTAACGAGCAAAAATGAATTGCAGGAAAAAGAGTTCGAGGAAACGATGGACCACTTGCAAACGGATATCGACAGTTTAGAATCAGAAAGAGGTCAGCTGAAAGAAAAACTCAAATCTATTGGCAAAAAAGGAGGCGTTCCGTCGACTCCTGGATCGGAAAATCTACCGAGTTTCGCGTCTTCTGGTACACCCATGCTCGAGGGTGCTCTGCACGATAAGCTCGAAGCTCTACGGGAAGCTCTGCGCGACGAGTCTCGTCAAAAGCGAAATTTACTCGCCGACAGTCTACAGCGGAAACTCAACGCTCTGCCGGTTTTGCCTAAACTGGACGTGAAACCCGACGACGATCCCAAAGTCAAGGAACTCGTGGAAAAGAAAACTGAACTGCTCAGGGTTCGTTAAATTTAATTTAACTCTCGTAATCTAAAATTTATGAAAAATAATTTATCGATTCTTATTTTTTGTAGGAGGCCAAAAAATTGACGTTCTTCCCGGTTGTGCCAGACTTAACGCGAAAGAAACTGCTTCTTGCTACGGATGAACCTATACTAGAAAAAGCTTTGCCTGTCTATCAATTGCTAGAAAGGGAGCAAAATCTTAGAAATTTGAAGAACCGCGTCGACGAATTGAGCGTAAGTAACCGACATCTTCTAAATACTGTTCTAACGATTCTAATGTTTATTGCTTTTCATACAGAATCAAGTCCGAGAAGAAACGATAAAGCGTACTTTCGGAGGCCAGGCTGAGGCGGAGTTTGCCGTATTTCCATCGCGGCATGTGGCGGCAGCTTTGAAAAATTCCAAGGAACCTGTCACTGCTGAAATTATAATACCGCGAAAGGGCCCGTCGCAAATCATAAACATGCCCGTTGGTACTCAAGAACTGCGTAAAGTTCACATGCTGTTATCGTATTAAAGCTCTATAGAATTGTATTATTGTACAGACTTACCGCAAGTAATTATTGCTATTGTTTTGTCCACACTGGCATATCGACGACATAATTGCATAATTAGGTAAATTTAATTTCGCGTCAGTGTTTTTCACCCTGTTACGGAAAAGATGAATGAAATGTTATAATAATTATATATATAACTGATGCAGTATAAAATTACACTTTCCCGAGAATTAAAATGTGTAAATAGCTTATATATTGATGGAATAATAAGAATGAACAACGCACAGAATGCAGTTAATGAATTTTTGATATTTTTATTTTCACCTATGATTTTTGTTTCATAAATTGATGAGATTAACTTTGTGAAAGTGCAAAACAATGAAGATTCTTCGTAATTGAAACTCCATTGAAGCGTGTCTTTTTGTCATTTATTTTCGATACATATCGATAAGCTCGATGAATGTGCTTCAGTGATTGTTTTAAATTTATTACAGATATTATTTTTTTTATTTTTTATTTTTTCTTAAATAACAACTACTATACGAGAAAATTAGACCGTATCAGCTAACGCCTTACAATTATATTATATTTTAATATGTAAAATGTACCAATTACAATAAAAACAATAACGATGAAATATTTAAATTCTATTTTGTGATATAAATTCCATTGTCATGCACATTGAGTTATTTTCTGAACTGAAAGTCGGTCGCTTTAGTCCCTACGACAATGTTTATAAGTTTTATAAAAAGTTTCTTTTATTTTAACAATACAAAATTAATTTTATATATATTTACAGTCATTCGCATTTATAGCTCTTATTTTCGCATAATACAAAACAATAACGAACGTCGCGTTAATTCACTAGATAACACAGAAATAAACTATCGAATCATTTTTAATAAGGTAAAGTTTTTTTAGACTTAATTTTTTTCTTGGAAGAAACTTAATAGCTTTATAATCATGACATCTGACTGAATAAACTTTCTTTACATATCTAGCTTTATATCGCTTATAAATCTACGTCGCAGCTTTAACCTACATATAGAATTCAATAGCAAGAGTTTGACAGTAATAGACGCTGTTTCGAAGTGGAATGTATAACAAGTATTTGTTGATGAGTATGTCCGTAATTTTATTTTTTAAAGCATGCTCTACCATATTTAATCGTACTTTTATTCGTTTTCATATTTACATAGAATCATTTATTATTTCCTAAGCGAACAATCGAATGACTTTGCGACGAAGACGATCGCTAAATAATATCAACAGTTTGAGTTTGCACAGCTTTCGCATTAGAGCAGTATGGTTTGTAAAATAAGAAAATAAAACAAAGAGCACCGTTTGGGTCTCATCGACGCTCAACGAGACCAACGAGACGCGGCGTCACATATTTACACGTAAATCGTAATACTGTTTTCGAGAGTATCAAATTATCGTAACAATAATTCGCGTCGTTAAACGAAGAAGCAACGAGAGCTTTCGAATAATGGATATTTGCGAGGACAAAAGTTGAATCGCTCGGTGAAACGACTTCTCCGTTGGGTCGAGGGACGACGAAATCGACGAGGTGTCAAAGCGCCGTCTCCTCGGTGCGACGCTGATTCGGCGAGGTGGTGCTGGTAGCAGTGGTAGTCTGCGAGGTCCCCTGCAGCTGCTGCTGCTGCGACTGCGACTGTTGTTGTTGCTGCTGCTGCTGCGTCTGAGTCTCACCGCCGCCGAACGTCACGGAGAAGTCGGTCCTGTCTCACGTCCTCGAGGTCTGCTGGCGCCAATTGGCGTTGGTCATCTGGCCCCGATGCTCGGCGTTGGGATGCAGAGCGTCGAATCGGCCACCCGAGTCGCGAAAGCAGTGGCGACAGGTCAGCCGCCAGAACGCCATGCGAAAGTCGGCCGAGTAAAAGGCGTAGATGAAGGGATTGATGGCCGAGTTTATCCAGCCTGTAACGAGGCAAGAGAGTAGGACATATCAAAGAGAGCTGAATTTCGAGAGACAGAGAGAGCAGAGCCGAGATTGAAATTTATCAAGTCCGTGTGTGTAGTAGACTGGATGCAGTTGCTTATATACGAGAGCGAGGGACTTTGCTGGGCTAAGGGACGGACGGACGGACGGAGGGTGGCTTGCATGTGTAGATATTCGCGGCCTGCAAGAGTCAATGTTTATTCATGAATCTGCACTTGGCAACAGCAGCAGCAGCAGCAGCAGCAGCAGCAGCAGCAGCTCCTCCAGCTCGAGAATGAATCATAGTCCATTAAACCTCAGCTCCGGCTCATAATTATTATATCTACTCTTGCACGGGGCAGAGAAAGAGAGAGAGAGAGAGCTTGCAAGCTCTGCAAGCACAAACGCGACTAGACGTGTACCTAGGTAGGTACGAATTTGTACGGAGCTGCTGCTGCTGCATACTACGGCTGCTCTTGTGCGGTGGCTATTTTTCCAGGACAAATAAACAAAGCTCCCCGCTGCTGGTAGTGCTGCGTTTAGTTAGGTACTCTGTATGCCGTATGGATCATTCGAAAATTCGTATGTGGTTTCGTGCGCGCTACGCGAGAAGTCTCATAAATCAACTAGTGCAGTGGCGCGCGCTGCTGCTGCTGCTGTAGTAAGCGAGCAAAGTTTGTAGCCGGGCGCGCGCGAGGCATGATTTATGACGCGAAAAGAGAGAGAGAGAGAGAGAGAGAGAGAGACTAGTCGCGAAGATCGGGCCGGAAGTCAAAGTCGAAAAAGAGACAGGACGCGCGACGAGCTGATATATATTACGACGTGTTCATTCGAATCGAGCCGTCGACGCGCGGCATAGCTCGATTATTTCATCACGTGCACTTGTTGTTTTTTTTTTTGCATTCTATTATGTATGAAGAGAGAGACGACAAGAGACAAGGAGGGACGAGGACAAGAGTGGCTGCAACAAAATGGAAAAGAGCAACTCTCGACGGGGGCTGCACGTGTACAAGAGAGCCTATAGGCCAAGTGGGCTAATTATCTCTTTGAAGATGGGACGAGCACGTGCTCGATGGAAGATAGGAAATGGGTTTTGATATACACAGTTCGATTACTCACCGAGCCAAGTGAGGGCCGGCATGAGGGCGTCCGGCGGCGCGACCGGTACGAAGGGCGTCGCCAAGTAGAGTATGAAAAAGGGCAGCCAGCAGAGGACGAATCCGCCCACCACCACCGCCAGAGTGCCGGCCGTCTTGGTCTCGCGGGTCACCCGATTGATGCAGCTGCTGCTGTGCTGATGGCTGCGTATCGTCCCGAGCCGACCGAGGCTGCTAACGCTCGGCTTGGCGCTGCCGCGACTCGGACTGAGCAGCGTCTGAGGGCCGCCACTGGACTCGGTCGTCGTGGGCGAGCTCGGTGCTCCTCCTCCTCCTCCATCGTTGCCGGAGCTTGTGACGTCCAACGACGGCACCTGCAGAGTCGTGGTGGTGGCTGGCTTGCTGCTGGCAGCTGGCGCAGCTGTGGTGCTGGTGGTGGCGTCGCTCGTCGTGCCGTACTCCGAGACGGAGAGCCTCAACGACAGGGCCTGGCGCAGCGACGACTTGGCCAGCTTCGTCGACGAGGCCTGTCGAATTTTCCAAATACAAACACGCGTGTGTGAGCGATCGAGCGCACGTATAAGAGCAAAGCCGAGCTTGGCATTAATTAGTCAGAAATGGAGTGGCAAGCTCCATGTATACACAATGTAGAGAGCCTATATGTATGAGCTTTATGGCGCGCGCGGGGGGTAGCGGTTGCTGTAGTTGCGTTATGCGCGCTACGTGCAGATGCACTGCCACATCCTTTATATGTACTATATAATGTTCTCTCGCTCGCTCGCTCTCGACGTCGAGCTTACAAGCTAAATTCGAATAAGCCAAGTTTCTCTATATCAAGCCAGAAGTTGGTGCACTGCGAGAGAGAGAGAGAGAAAGAGCGGCTACCGGCCTCTCTCTCTGCGCTCTGTGTGTATATTTACATAATTTAATGCTGTACCGAGCGGCTGGCGGCAAAACTCGTCTAGCTACGACACAGCCTTATATATGCGCGTTATATATTATATATTATAGCTTGGATTTATAATACTCGCGGCCTCCCCCCCAGTGTATAGCAGATTTATTAGCTGCACTACTACCGTGCATACTCGCGGACGAGAGGAGAATTCGAGTACATTATATATATAATTTGCAACGGAACGCGAAGAATGCCAAACTACCTGTGGACAGTTCCTCCTGATGACGGAGCGCTTGTGAGCCCTGGGAAAGCCGCCGCTGTCGAATTTGCCCTGATGCTCGTTGCCAGTCTGTTGCTGATGATGATGATGATGATGATGGGGCGCCGCGGCCGAGGAGTCGCTCGTCTCGAGGCTCCGATGACGCTTGGCTATGACGCACGATATACGCCCGTACACGTAGAGCATGACGAGCATCGGCAGGAAGAAGCTGCCCATGGCCGAGAAAACGACGTACGAGCGGTCCATGTTGTACGAGCACTTCTTGTCGATCTCGAGGCTGTTCCTGACCATGGGGAAGCAGCCGAGCAGAGGCGGACTCGTGATGGCCCCGGCCGAGATCCAGACGACGACGATCATCAGGCCGGCCAGGCGTTTGCTGCGACGCCTGCGGCTGTAGATCAGCGGCTGCGTCACCGCCAGGTATCTAAAGATAAAATTCGAGCGATTAATTCATTTCGTAACGAAGAAGCTGCGATCTTTTACAGAGCTATAGCAGCGGACGACTAATTGCCAGCGAGTAACCGAATTAACGCTCGAATTGTAACGAGAGCCATTGTGCTCGCGGTGGTGGCAGCAATTAGAGCCGCCGCTGCGACCGCGGGTAATATTTATTAAATTAAATATATTATATGAAACAAAACGCGCGGGGCTAAATTGAAAAGGGCCACCCCTAACAGCGGCCAGTAAGCAAAAAAAGACAAAGCAACAGCAGCAGCAGCAGAGACAGAGAGAGTCAGAGAGCTGCATAGCTGCGGCGAGTTGTGGCGCGAGAGCAAGAGCGAGTTCTCGTCACGTGCGGGTGGGCGCCGCGCGGCATATAATCAGCTCGTTTTCCACGTCGAGAAATACGTGACTTGCCTTGGCTACTCTCTCTCTCTCTCTCTCATGCTGCTTTTTTTTTCATTTCGCCTCCGCTGCTGCTGCTGCTGCTGTGTGCATATGCATACATATATATATACGCGAAGGGATAGTAGTGGTGCTTATAAGCTGCGCTGCAGCCAAGTGATAGTAGTGGTAATATAGCTTACCTGTCTATGGATATGGCGCAGAGCGACAGTATGCTGGCCGTACAAAGTAGCACGTCGAGCGACACCCAAGAGTCGCAGAGTATCTCGCCGAGCTCCCATTCGCCGCCGTTCAGCTGCGCATATACATAGTGTTGACATACGGAAAATTTCAATTATTCTCGGCTACTTCACCCCGCTACATGTATAGCTGCTGCAGATTATGCAAATTTATTATTGCGTACACCTCTTTGGCTGTTTCTGCCAGCCATCCCGAAAAGAAGCTGAACAAATTTATACCCGCGAATTTCTATACTTATTAAATTCTGCAGCTCTTACGGGTACAACTCGCATACCTTTATATTGTTATTATATTATAGTCAGGCTTTGGAAAGAGAGTTTGGCGCGTTACGTATCGCGTACACCGCACGTTTTCCGCTGGCAACTTTTAGCCCTTTTGCGGTGCTTTTAACACCACCGCAGCAGCAGCGCACAATGCCACACTCGAGGCGCGAATAATTCTCGAGAATCCTTTCTTCCTTTCGATTTCGAGACTTCTCGAGACTCGATTGTGCGAGATTTGATTAAATTTCTGCTAAAGCGAGAAGCACCGCGACCGGGCTAATTCTTGACATTACTATTTCACACGTCGGACGCGAAAAAACAACGCGATTCGCCACCCCGTAAATTTTTAAAGCGCGTCCAAAACGACGCAATCCGATCGCGCAACCCGAGGTGTTTTGTCGACGGTACACAGCTGTTAAAATTAACGCAACGGCATGCACCCCCGCAAATACGTGTCGCGCGCGCGGGCTATTCGATCGAGCGTAAAAATTCCGAAAACAAGCGCAACTACTGTGCTGGTGGCTATGCAAATGGCTTTTAAGACGCAGCGTACGGTATACGGATCGCTGCTACCGCTGGGGCGAATTTACATGTTGCCGCAACGATGCACTGCGCACTGCATGGTACACGTATGCATGTGTAGAGGGGGGGNGGGGGGGGGGGGGGGGAAAAAGTGAAAAAAATAAAAAAATTCGATACGCGCTTTGAAGCTCGAACTTTACTCTTGCGCCGCTGCAGTCTAACGGGGCTCGCAGCGGCTCTTTGCGTGCGCTCACCCATACATACACCCACGTGTACACAAAGCTCGCGCGTGCCAAACTCGTTATTATATTCCGTATGTGCATACGAGGGGGTAGGGTAAAACAAAAGCCACGAAAAAGTTACGTTTATCCGCGCGTGTCTATACATGTATGCACCTGCACGCGTACACCTATACAATATAGGTATCTGTGCAGTGCGCAGCCCGGCTCAAATCCACTTGTTATTTTCTTGCCAACCGACGCTTTCCGATCGTTGTTCTCTCTTTCACTCTCGTTACGGCGCTTTATTTGCCAGTTTTGCTATTTTCGCGAGGTAAAACGCAGGCATTTTCCATCGGAAGCTATTGTACGCGTACAACGGCAAACGAATTGCAATTTAATAATTTAAATTAATATTGAAAGCAGGCCGAAAGAGAGAGAGAGAGAGAAAAACAACATTTAAAATTGTAATATTACTCTCGTGGCTATACGAATAGCTAGTGGCTCGCGCGCACCTGAATATGAATACATGAAAAGCTCGATGGAGTTTATTAAAAATTCATCGGATACTGTTGCACGTTCGCGCTTTGCTGCTGCTGCTGCTGCTGCTTTGCTGTGTTGCTTCGCGGCGCGCGTACGAATCATGAATGTATTTGTAAGGTAGACTAATGTAAAGGCTGTTCGACTGCAGGGGCCCTTCCGGACCGACTCGAGCTTTCGCGCGCGCTCCCCAGATTTGCCGATTACGAGCCGAGTGCATTACGAGATTCCGCGTATGAAGATGCGATTTTTTCTTCGTTCTCGTATACCGTCGTGCAATTCAAATTCAACGCGATGCGCCTTCATTACGCTTTGGATTAAAAAAATTTCGGGCCAAAGTTCACGACTCCGAAATTAGTATTCTAATTGGAAAAAAATTTCTCATTCTCGTTGCATCCGTTTGCGTTTACGCTTTAATCCAAAATTATTATTTTCGCGCGCTCCGAGCGCTATATACGCGAATCGAGGAATGAAACGCTAAATGATTTAATTAAGGATTTCGTGCGCAACAAAAAAAAGAAAGAAAAAAAAGAACGATCCAATTCACGCGCGGGCACGTGGGTGTTAACGCGCGTCGAAAAGTCCTCCTCCTCTCCCCACGGCAAAGCGCGACGAGCGGCGGTGGCTCATTGTGTGCTGTTTTCTTGCGCCTTCGTCGCCGCCTCGTCGACGGCGGTGGCGGCGACATAGCCTTTGTCTGGCGGCGCCGCGTTTGTGCAATACAGAAACTTTTCTTTGCAAATTAGACAACGATCAAAGAAAGCTACGGCAAGTGCGCGAATAAAGTTAAGGCGCGAAATTGCACGAATTGCAGTTGTGCAGCCCCCCACTGACACACGTTGATACAAAAGCTCGCGACGGACGCGTCGATGAGCCTCATTTTCATTCGCGAGCACCGTATGCGAAACTATCTGCAGCACACGCTGTATGTAGACGCGACAGCAGAATGAGCTTCGCGCGTAGCTCTCTATTGGCCTCGCGGTGGCCATCGCATCGATTTTCAGCCGCTGCGGGCGATGTTGTTGGGCGGGAGAAAAAAAAGTGTTGACTCGAGGCAATATAAATCGATTCGTTTTGCGGACAGGCGAGCCGGAAAAAACCAAGTTTTTTATCAAAAGTAACAGTTTTAAGAAAGTTTCAGGGTTACGCGCGGAAAAAGCTGCGACGACTACGACTACGACGCTGATTTAATATACGTGCCCACGAGATATTGCGTCGACTTAAATCGTACGTACGTGTACGTAGCCCCGGTGCCGGATCGCGGCATCATCGTGCCAAGATTAAGATTTATATTCGGCGAAACGTGGCCGCGGCGACTTTTCTGCTCGATAACAGGATATTTGCTCGCACGAAAGATGACACTCGCTTTGCTTTGGGAAAAGTATATTAATAAGCTCGCGAGCAATTGACAAATTTATTTTTTCTCCTTTATATCAAGTAATATTTCGACGTAAAACTTTGGACTTTTGTCGTCGTCGTCGTCGTGCACTCGCAAATGGAATAAAACAAGAATATAACAACGAGCAGCAGAACAATGATCTCCAAACGAGCTTTAGACTTTTCTCGAGGGAGCAGCCGTCGCTCTCTGTATACTACTTTGCGTCGTCGAGTAATTCGCACATTTACATCTCATTGAGTCTCCGAGAGTCGCGGTACAAAAACGGAAACATATTTTCCGATCTTACACGTGCAGGAGCGAGAGATGCGTGGCTACATATGTATCCGAGGATCGATCGATCGCGAGAGAGATTCCGGCGCGATGATCAAAGTCAACTGCGTCAGGGTCGGTGCGGTACCTCAAGTAGCAGCAGCAAATATGCGAATACCAGAACACGCATACACGCCCGGTAATTAGCGGTCGAATCATGCCGATTGTTTCTCTAAACGAAGGGGCGCCTCTACTATATACGTGCGTACCTGTAGCAGCACAGCCGGCGGCATGACCGCCAATCCGACCAAGAGATCAGCCGCCGCTAGGCTCGATACGAAGCAATTGGTAACGGACCGCAGCCGACGCGTCGTTATTACCGCCGCTATGACCAGTGTATTGCCCACCTGCAACAACAACAACAACAACAACAGCAATAAGCGACGAATACAAGTATAAATGATCGGTTGGCAAAAAAAAAGTCATATTATATTCGCAATTGGCAATTGGAGCTCAGCTGTATATGCATATAGATTGGCTTGGCAATTTAACTCGTGCAGCAGGGCGCAGCGCGCAGGAGGAGTTATATTAGAGACGTGCAGCAGCAGCAGCAGCAGCAGCGCCGGGCAAATTCATCGAGCGGATTTAATCCGATCGCCCTCCTGCCTCTGCCTCTGTGTGTGTGTGTGTGTGTGTGTGTGTGTGTGTGTAACGTTTATACAAGCACCGCTGCAGCGAGGTATGAGGCTTGTGATCTATTGGCATTCCGCGCTGAGTAATATTGCGCGTTTCTGGGCGCGTTCATTATTATCCGATTGCCATCCGCGGAACGTAGCGCCAACTTTTTAGCCACCGCCGGAAATAGCTATTTTGTACGCGAGACTTTGCTCGTCCTCCGAAATTCTTTATCCATCTCTCGGTTCGCTCGAGAGCTCGGCCGAATCAATCAAGACGATCGTGCACGCGTGCGAGGCCAAATTAATAATGAATCGATTAATTTGCCGTGCCGAGTGAAATCAGTTGAATATGCATGAATCTCTCTCTGGGAGCAAGTGCACCCAACGTAGTATACGTATATATTTGAAAATTCTATCGTCTATGTACAATACTCGTTGTATGTGTGTATACAGGCGGTTCATCGACTCCGAAGCGCTTAGAGAGAGAGCAGAGATGGTAACAGCAGCAGTGCACGCACGAAATCTCCAAGTAGCAACAATGCGGGCGGCCTCTCCCCCTTACACTATACTACTTTGGTACACTATACAACGCCATATATTATATAAGCTGCACTCGAGGGAGGACGAGAGAGAATAGCTCTGACGTATACGCGTCATCGAGAGTCGTCGTGATTTGTCTTGGCGCACTTTAACTGCGGAGCAGAGAACGGCAAAAGTTTTCCAATCGATGAGTGTTTGTTAAGTTAAATTGTTGACTCTCTATCTCTCTCTCTCTCTCTCTGGGAAGCTCGAGCTCGTAGATAAATATGTACATTTCATTGGGAGCGCCTCGTCCTCCGCATCACACTCGAAGCCGTCGTCGTCGCTATATACATATTGATCGCTGCATCGCACGTTGATTGGCAAATCTCCGATGAGAGAGAGAAACATTTTAATTAAAAATTCACGAGCGACGACGACAACGATTTCCGCACTCGCAATTGCCAATATACGAATACATATATAGATACTCACTATGGTAACGACGATGAGGAGCGAGAAGCAGGCGGCCAAAAACAGATCGGTCCAGTCGGGCAGGTAGTCGCCGCCGTCCTCGTCGTCCGTCGCGTTGTTCCGTTGTCGTTGCGTGAGATTGACTAGCAGCAGCGAGCCGAGATCGGTATCGTTCTCGCTTGCCCGCGTCAAGTTATCCATCACGCGCCTTGTCGCCTTCCATTCGGCCTACTTACCGCACCCCCGCCTCGCCAACCCCCATCGAGTATACCCAAAGATCGGCCCAACGTTCAATGGACCATGATTTTCTATTTGCCCAGTAGTCGAGGAGAGATTGGCCTTGGATCGCGTGGGCCCCCGCGCACTACGGCAGCGGCCTTTTCTTTCGCACTTGATTCATTTTCAGTCGCGCGCCGGTCTCTGCAAAACAGAAAACATAGACGTATGATAAACGCGTATATACAGCGCGAGATATATAAATTCGTTGAATCCGTCGCAGAAATAAAAAGGAAAACAAATTCAAACCCTCGTGTATATCTACGAGCTGCTATATAGGGAGAATTTGTAAGCCAAGCTCGGCTATGTTGTATTCGATCGTGCCGAATGGAATCGAACAAGCGCGAGGCTGTATCCGCTCGTCCGTCGATCTTCGAGCCCTGCGCCAATCCGATCAGCAGCAGCAGCAGCAGCAGCGAGGCTCGACGCGCTATACTGCATACTCACGGCAGCAACATCGACGTAGCGTATAGCCTTATACACGACTAGCTGCTTAGAGCTGAGCAGCAGCAACACGAGATCCCTTCGACATAGCCGTGCTAATACACGAGCGTATCGATGCATGTGCAGCTACTTCGGCTGATCTGCTCTCCTTGAGCCCGATACATTCGAGATGTCTCATTCCTATGTAATAACGTTGTATTAAAAATTCACTCGAGTTCGATCCTGTATTACATAGCTACGAATTAAATGACGTTATTCTTCTTTGTCGCAGGTGCATCGTATACAGCTCGCGAGTTAGATCCTCCTCTCTTCCTTTTTGTGCCCTGGCTCTCTCTGTTTTTTGAATAACGCTCCTGGCCCGTGCGATATTTATCATCTCTCTACTTTTTTTTTATACCGACGAGTAGAGCGCGGCGGGGGCGAAAAAAGCTTTTATGAAAATTAAAAGCTCCGGCTGCTGCTGCTGCTGCTGCCGGGGGTCTAAAAATAAGTGAAAGGCAAATAGAACGACCGAGGAGGCGCGCAACGGTAGTGGAGCGGAGGGCTACACGTCGAACTCGCGCGCGCGACAATTCCGAGAGAGGATGAGAATTGGAATCGAGCGAATATAATCTCTCCCCGCGACTACGACGACGACTTTGACTCGAGGAAGTCGGGGCGACGCTTTTTTTTTTTTACTACTTTCTTCTTTTTTTTACTCTTCATCGTCGATATGCTCGCACACAAATTTTGCGAGCAGAGCTCCAAAGTGAGAGCCGCAGGAGGAGGAGGACGACGACGACACTTTCTCGACTCTCGAGATACGCGTCATAAAAATGAAATTTACGACGCCAGCAGGTGGGGCATAAATATGCCGCCGCCGCGTTGAACGTTTCAATCAACTCTCGCTCTATATCATATAATATATATGCGTATTCGTCTTGGGCCGCAAGCTCGCGCTCTTACACGTATCTAATGCATCGTTCGTTCACCGGACGGTCACTTTGCCTCTATATACGCGTGTGTGTATCGCACGCGTCTGGCGCGCGGAATAACCTGGTTAAATGACGAATTAATTCTGCATCAAAGGTGCAGAGAGTGCGTTAGCTCGCTTTAAAGGGCCATTACTTTGCATTACTCCATGGAAACGAGGGCGCAATTTTATCGTTTAAATGATACACGCGCGCAGGCTCGCGACAAAAAAACAGAGAGTCACTCTCCGTATTGTTTCTCCTCTCGCGCGTACATCTATGACTCGTCTTTACGAGGATTTACATAGTATATATACATGATCCACATGGAATAATCGCGCGTACGTAACATTTTCTCGTACAATTTTTTCTCTCCGTTTCGCGCACAAAAGCGCGCGAGCGATATCCCCTAAATGCGTGTTTAATCAACTCGAGCTCTGGATCTTAAGAGTCAATATCGTATATGTGTACGCGCTTTAAAGCGTTCGAGCTATGATAAAAAAAAACAAGGGAGCGAATAGCACTAGTGAATATTTTACGGCTCGATGTACGATTTTCGCTAAAAACTTTTTCTATCCTCTCTCTTTCTCTTGCCTCGCGCGCAGACGATTGAAAAGCCTCTAAGTGGATGAAAACTTGCCGATGACTTTATTCCGTAACTAATTCCGTTTGTACTCTACCAGCTACACCTATATCTCGTACCTGTACGTTCTTGGCGCAGTTTCGAGAGCCCGAAGGAGGTAAGGGGTCTAAGTGTACTCTGCGCACGCCACCTCGACGTCCGTACATATACGTATCCCCGCACGTAGATAGGATACATGCCACTCGCGCCCGACCTTATATATATCGCCATTATCGACTTGGATCCAATTTTACGCGCCATACGGCTACGGAACGTAATTATACATATGTCACGAGTCGGGTCTATAATGAACGCGTACCTATATATGGCTTCAATCAAATTTCACACTCTCCTCTCGGTTAAATTAAATTCATTAGCAGCTCCAATAGCCCAGATGTATTTGCACTCGCGCGCGAGCCATAATGCGCAGCACTAGCCATTATCTATGTAGCTCTACCTATACGTACACCTACGTGGTCGTTTCTCTGACAAATCGAATGATCCAACAAATTATTTACTGTTGACGTAAAAAAGTTGTTGGTTTTTTTTTCGTATGAAGAGACGTTCAAAAAAAGGAAAATAGCAAAACCGAACTTCTCAAGTACCGAACCGAAGTCTATCTTATACTAGATCTTAGCCTTTTCTCTTGTGATTATCGAGAATTCGGGCACGCGCCATCTAGTGTTATCTTGAGTATTATTTGATGTTTTGTTCGATGAGGATGAGGTTTGAAAAAAATTTTTTTTCGTGACATTTTTTCCGAATTACGTGACTTTTTTTAAACATTGTTTTACGCGTATCTCGCTTGGAAATAATCGATTACTTCGCATTATACGATAATTCCAATTGTATTATTTGCACTGTATTCCTTTTTTGTAAGTTTTTACAATATCTAGTTTAAAAAGCTCGCTAGCACATTTTTTTCTTCAGCCGATCAAGATCGAGCTGGGGATTGTTGAAAATTCTAATAAAGTTCGAGGACACAAAGAAGCGGCGTTAAAAACAAGTTTTCCGTACCAGTGAAAACATTTTTTTGTTGGCCTTACGATTTTACAAAGAATCGGCCATATGTATACACCAAGGCTTTGGCACGTGGGAAAACAAGGGGCCGCTGCGAGGCGGACGCAGACACGTTTTTGAAAAAGTTGCGAAAGGGCCTCGATACTGTATAACGGCCGCGTGCGCCAGAGATAAAAGTTCGAGAGGCGCATTTAATGAGATCGAGGAAGGTAATTTACATGCCTCGCTTAGCATGTGAACGGGAGCTCATCAGCTCTTTCTCTCGCTCGCTCGGGCGCGCATATACGCTTTAACTGCTCTTGTTTTCGGGCGATCGCGTGCACTCACGCACGCAGAGAGAGAGAGAGAGAGAGAGAGAGAGAGAGAGAGAGAGAGAGAGAGAGAGGAAAAGTTTTGTGTGCAAACAAAACGACGCCCTCCTGCCCCACGTGCGAGCGAGGGCGATATCGCGCAGCAAAAAAAAAGAGAAAGAAAGAAAAAAGCGCCGAAAGCTCGACGCGCAGCGTATAAATGCCCACATTATATCGTAGCCTAAACGCGTACTGTATGTGTGTGTGTGTGTGCGTGTCGTCGACGAGCAATGCGAAACAAATTTAAAGTAGAGAAAATATGTAAGGTCCGTGTGTTGTGCAGTAGTTATACAATGCGTATTAGCTGTATACAGCTGTCGTGCGAGCGGCGCGGGCCCCCGTGCAGCCTCGATCGAAAAAGCTGCGAGGCACTCGTGCGAGCTATGCCAAAGTTTCCGCGTCGCAAGCTCCACAGTAGCTATATAGCTAGATCTAGCTCGAGTCGCGTATATATATAATAATGATCGTGTGGGGAGTCGAGCGCTCGCTCGGTCATAAATTCGGAATCTCATTTTAGCGCGTGGCCAGCTGTCCATGCGCTCGCGAGATGTATATCTATATGAACGGACAACGTGGGGGGGTTCCCCCGTAGCGCACTAAGCGCCACTTAATTATCTCGCCCGGCTTGCATTATTCATCGCCTTATCTTCTATAAAAATTGTATTATATAATCTGCTCTCTCTCTCTCTCTCCCTCTCATTCTCTCTCTTGGTGAAGATAACGCTCGAGTAGAGGCGGCGCTACATCGATGGAATTCAAATGACGGACGGACGAAGAAGAAAATTTGCGGAAAGCTCGCTCGCTCGTGAACTCGCGCTATGTAGAGAGCTATATATTTGTGTGTGTGCTCGCGCTGGCACGGGGGATGTTTAATGTATGAGCTAGTTATACGGCTCGATATCATATAGTGCCAAGATTCGATTTTCGATCGACTGCGTTCGCTCTCTCTCTCTCTCTTCGATATATTATATAATAAATTTTAACTCCTTTCTACGCGCGCCAAATGACACACGGGCGGTGATATCGTAATCGAGTTTCGGCTCGCCACTACGCAGCAGCGGCAACGATCAGCGGCTCCTCCCCGAAAAAAAAGCTCGGCTAATTGCGAGCTAGCAATAGGTACGTATAGGCCTTACGTAACGTCGCTCGCTCGGCGATCCACACGTGCGATTAGAGTTTGCGGCGTATTATATGCGTGTGTACACGCAATAATAACAATAATATTATATATCCCCCTGCCTATTCTCCTGTGCAATGCACGAATGCACGAATGCACGTGTGTGCGCCTGTGTGTGTGTGGGTATACTCCGCAGTATGCGTGCCTCTCTCTGCGTGTGACGTACATGCGTAATTACGTAATTTCTCATAACTAATAGGAGTTGCTCCAGTATACCCACTCTCTCTCTCGCTCGTATTAGAAACTATACTATGCGTGTATAAAGCAGCAACAGCACGTGCTGTATAGCCGTATATGTATATACATCACATGCGCGCACCCCGACTATATAGCAGGGAGAGAGAGGATATTACGGCCCGCCCGATAGGACTCGCGAGGCTTATATTCTAAGGAAGTTGCACACACACACACACACACACACATACACATTCGAGAGACTCGACTAATTTGCCTCGCCCCCCACCCATGCACAGAGAGAGAGACGACGCAGCTCTGCACCGCATCGATTTTTCGCGCCTTTTATAATTACGTTTTGCGCTCTTCGGCCTTGTAATTTACATAACATTGGCTTGTTTTGCCGCGGATAAACTTCGCCATTGCTCTCTTGTTAATTAATCGTTTAAATGCCTTTTCCTCGAAAGCCAGCTTCTCTCCCTGAAAAGACGGGGACGGGGATAATGAAACGTAGATCCGTCAGCGCGTGCTCGTCGCTTTTCGAAGCGCGTAAAGGAGACGATAAGCCTCTGCAGCTCGACGATCTATTCGTATACATAGATAGCAACTGCTGAAACTATTTCGCAGTCGAGTAATCAAAGCTCGAGTTGAAGCGCCCTTGAGATCGAGTCCAAGTTTTATTCGGCGGTTCGAGGGAAACAGAGACAGAGAGCCAAAATAAAAATAAAAAAAAACATCAAGAGTCTCTAGCTTTTTTGTTTTTGTTGCTCCGCTCTCGCTGATTGTCATTCCTGCGGCGTATACAGTCTAGTAGCAGCAGCAGCTACGTTTTATCGACACTGCACGCGCGCGCGCCCAGCCAAGAGTACGCAAACTTTCGATCTATCGGGGAGAATTTTAAAAAGTACTCGTCCACCCGCGCGATTCAGCACCGTGCCAGCGCTGACAGTTATTATTTCATCTTTTTTCCTTTGCTTTACGACTTTTCCCCAGTGCGTAAAAGAGGATTAGAGGTTTACTTCGTTCCGTACCGTAGTTCGCGCAGGGAGGAGCTGCGGAAGAAAAAGTAACATAGTAGTAGTAGTACGCGGCCCTTCGAGGACTTTATCGTTGGCTTTGTTCTCCGATGAAAATGTAATACGAGTAGTGTGCCGAAGGATATGCGCGTGGCAAAAACATCGTAAGACAAAAGTTGGATATTTACCGACTCGTGCGGAAACTGAATTGCCCCCGTTCGCGCGACAGATCGTTGTCTGACTAAAAACTCATCTGTATCACTCGGAGCCGTGCAATATCGATGAATCGCTATTTGTTGACTATACAGAGCCGAGTTGCAATGAGTGAAAAATTTCATTTAAAATACTTTTTTTTTTTACATTTCTTATTTACCGACGATGAATATGAAAAAGTCGTTGATACAAGTTTGAGATCAGACCGATATTGCGAACAATTTCGTACCTTTGTCAAAGTTAATTTTCAATAATTGAGCCGAGGAAAAAGCGGATTAGTTTAGACTGAAGTAATGTCATTCTCGGAATCAAATCCAATCCTCCATCAGATGGCATTTTCGGCAGTCACCGGCTGCGGATTCTAAAACATAAAGTGGATCAAAATTCAATTATTACATTTATTGGAATTTAACTTTTGAAAAATATGACAAAGGTTACTTGATGAAAATCTATACGATGCGGAAGTTTCATAAATTGCGTTGAAAATTGTTATCATTATTGGCCAGGCTTTGACGCTAGCTCAAAAACAAAGGAAAAATTTTAAAAATGTATGAAAATCCATAAGCTGTATAAATCTAAATAATAGAATTTTATACATAAAAAATTAATCAGTTGACACTTGATTTCTAGATTGAGCTTATTGGACTCTTTTCAAATCAGGACACGTAGGAAGATTGCGTCAATTGGTAGGCCGATGGGCTACCTGCAGCAGGTATACTCGTCGACTGTCGAGCCACGTGAAAGCCTAAGCGAGGCGCAAATCAAGGTATAATAGTGATTAATTGGGTTTTCAGCTTAATTTCGTGGCCGTGAGGTACTCCGCATCGTCTACTATCTCGTGCGCAGTGCAGTTATCTATACGTATATCGTTGGCGCGACGTCGTACACGAGACGACACGAGAGCCGCAGGGGAAAGCCTCGAGAGACTCGCAGCAGCAGCTGCAGCGACTCTCTCTCTCGAAGCTCCGTGTGTTTTGTTGCACGATCCGAGCTAATATGCACTTGCGCGCGACTTTACACGGGCAATTAGCGCCTCGGTATCGTCGCGCTATTTGCCTCTCGCAGAGGACCGCCTTTATCTTTGCGTGTTAATTATCGCGCGGTGCGAATCTCGGCGTACGGGACGAGGATTGAAAATAGTACATAGCTGGGGAACTTTTGTTGGGCAATCGACGGCGACGACGACGACGATGACACGTCTTTTTTTCGTCGAAAATAAGTCAAAACAAATCGGCGCGTTATATAGCACACGCGTGACTCCGATAGCTGTACAGCTGTGTATGGAGAGAGAGAGAGGAGCTGCTGCTATACTAGCGGTGTGCAACAAGAAAAAGAGAATATAGAGGGACGAGCTTGCGAGAGAGGGTGAGGGCGAAGCGAGGAGTATTAAGGGGACGATTGGAGCGAGAGCAGAGAGAGAGAGAGAGCGTTAAACGGCCAGACTCGAGCTGCAATCGCCCGACACCTGCACGAGCTTGTTCTATACTGCCACTATACTAGTACTACCTACTACCCTACACACTATACGAGCTAGCTCGAGCTGCGCTGCTACTATATAACACAGCGGCTATTATCTCTCTTCCTCTCTTTTCCGCTATTTTTCCCGCTCTCCTTCCTTTTTTTTTCGTTGCTTTTCTTTCTCGGCTCGCGGAGCACAGCACCCCTCCCCGCCATCGATCGATTTCGTCTATGGCTTTTATGCGTGACTCCGCGCGAATCGAAGATGAATTTTGCCTAACCCGAGCTTGCAGCGCTGCCTGTAACAAAGTGGCCTTGCGTGTTTTTTTTTATTACGCCCCCCCTCGAGCGATCCAAAGCGTTTTTGCTCGTATTATAGGACGTTATACGCTTGTGCGGAAGGCGCGTTAATGAAATATATATATCGAAGACGAGCTGCGAAACGCGTATAACTCGACAGCGTTGCTTACGCGCGAGCAAAAAGCTCCAACGTACTAGTACGTGCGGAACGTAGAGCAGCCACAGCAGCAGTGGCTCAGCCAAACTCCTTTAACGAGGCACCGTTTTCGGAAGTATTTTCGGGGCTTTTAAATGCAGCCACGCTCCGCAGGAAGAGGGGGAGCCACTGCGCGACGAGAGAATGTAAATTTTGTCGAGAGGAGAGCTTTTTTGCCTTGGGTGTTTGCCATCGGTGCTGCTGTTGTCGCCGTAAACCGTGGCGGCGGTTACGTACGTGCGGTTTTTTTTAAAGTCCAAGTGTACCGCAGGCAATTTATATATTACAACATACATCTGCGATGCCGAGCTTAAAGTGAAACATGACGCGCGCGATGTTAATTGCGAAGCTACGTAAAGCTCGCAGTTTGTACGGTTTTATCGCGGCGCGCGTACACGCGCTGCTACGAGAGATATAGTAAGCTTGATTCGGGCCGAGCCGCGGGCTGAAAAATAATCAGTCGAGGCGCGACGAGTCGGAAAAAGCTGCTACCTAAATAAAAGAAAAAAGAAGAAGAAGAAGATATGTTCCACGCGGCTATGCTGCGATGCGGTAGGTAGGTAGGTAGGTAGCTACGCTACGTACGTGTGTGTACGGCACAGGAGCGCCTGTCGCGTGCGAGGATCGCACATACGGGCAATTAGGCACCTGGCGAGGATACATCACGTGCGTCGCGCAAGCTCGTCTCTCTCTCTCTATGTGTGTGTGTGTGTGTGTTGTTAGTGTGTAGCACACACGTACATGCCTCACACAAACGAAATTCAATTAATCATCGGTACACGCGCGCGCGAGCTAGCGAGCGAGCGGCTCTGCGCGATATTTGACGTGAAAGTTATACGAGATCACGAGCGGCTTGCAAGCTCGAAAACCCACCCGCCTCTCCTCCTGACTCTCTGCCTCTCTCTCTGCCTCTCTCTCTGTGTCTGCTGTGTGTATGTCTGCTCTCGCGCGTATGTGTACGCGAGCGAGTATAAATCAAAGTTTGCGGGAACGCAGCCAGCTCGCTATCGCGTACTCTCCAGCTTTTATTATGTACACATCGACGTGACTCTGTACTTTTTTCATCTTTTTCTTTCTTTTTTTTTACTTTTTACGTAATTTTCTCCCAACGATAAGTTTGTCTATCTTTCTTTTCCCCCCTTTTTTTTGCACGAAGCCAGCTGTTAACGCATCCGTTTTTTCGAAGGTCGACGATTTTATTTTTTATTTTTTTTCATTCGATCCAATAAAATGCGAAAGCGAGCGCGCTGCAAAAAAAAGCTCGATTTGCGGCTTTATATACAAGCAAAACGAATCAAGGTCGAAGTATACATAAGAACAAGAGCTCTTAATGCCAGCGAAAATTCCTCCGAGTAACTTTATATCAAACTACTTTCGTGATTGATACTCGAAACTTTTTACGACAATCGAACGCGCGAGCGAGCGAGCGACGACTGCCGAGCTCAAGCGCGAACAAAGAACATTTCTGTAATTTCGTTTTAATTATTACTCTTCCGAAACTTTCCAAGCATAATAATCCAAGAGAGAGAGAGGGAGAGCGAGAAGGGGGGAGGAGAAAGAAGAGCACCGAGGTGAATGAAAAAATGCTATCAAACTAATAATGCTTCTTCGGCTTAATTAGCTTGACGAACAAAAAACGAAGAAGAAATCTAGGAAAGAGAGAGGGGCAGAAGCTCGAATCCCAAGTCCGAGACCTCTTTAATGTAACAACGAGTAGGCACGCATAGGCCATGCCACGGATGCTATACACCGGGGCAAACTTTTTTATTTATGTTTCAAAACTACTACTACTACTATTACTACTAGGACAAAAGTTGAAAGTCCTTTTGTCATTTCCAACGCGTGCAGAAGGTCTCGCGGTAATTATATTACGGCTGCGCGCTTCAGCTCGCTTGTCTTCCTAATGAGTCGTTGTACACATTTTTCAATTGTCCAAAAAATTACCTACGAAATAATTTTTCATTCTAATTGAGACTTGTTGCTCGCCTCGCGATCGTTATTTTGAACCACGACTCTGATTCTTTACCAATCGGTGTACGAGTCGTCGAGGTAAGCTTTTCTTTCTTCTTTGCGTGCGCACTCGATGCGATCGAAGCTATCCTGATATAAAAAATAACGTTTCGAAAAGAAAACTTTGAATATCGAGAATCGATTGTATATCGTAAGCTTGCAGCTAAAAGCTGAAAAAATGCTAATAACTGCGTTGTTGAAATGGAGATTACAAAAAAAAGAAGAAGAAGAAGAAGAAGAAGTTACGAGCATCGATTTATTCAGAGAAAATTTCATGCTCCGATGTAATACAAACGCTCGTGCGACGAAACGGCCTTTTGAAACTCAATCGAAACTCATTTCATAACTCGGGCCGAGCGCGCGCGCGCACATGTGCAATAGACCACCGCGCGCGCTGTACCACTACCGTACGATAACTTTTGTCCGGCGCAAAAAACCCATACTAATCGTAAAAAATGCATGTATATATGTTTACACAAAACACTCGGCTCTGTGGCGGCGGCGGCGCGCGGCAGAGGGGAAAGAAAATGAAAATAAATTTTACTAAAAGCTTAAAAAATTTACGAGCTTCCATTCCCTCTCTCGAACTGCGGTGTGTGTAGACCAAAGCGCGTACACATGGCTTTGCGGCCAGCAAAACGGGCTATAATGAAAACTTTTGTAATTCTCGCTGCGAATAAAAAAGGTGCGCGACGATCCCAAACATCTTTATTATTAACGCGGGATACGGAACGTTCGACGATGTAGCGAGTTCGATTTCGTTCCGCGGGAAGAGCAACGGCAGCGGCAAAAGAAGTAAAGAGAAAAACGGAAAGAAATTATGTCGATGGCGGTATGTTGAAAGTATAAAGTTGTTAGCCATAATTAAAGTCGAGGATCTATTGTGATGGGGCGTACAATTGACGACTCGTCATTTTCGACACGCGTAATAATAGGTATACGGGTTTATACGGAAGGAGCTGCGAATAATTCACTTCTTTTCCTCTTTCGCGCGCTCGCGGCTCTTATTTTCAGGAAAGAAATAACTCGTCGAGCTTAACTAATCATTCCTCTTTTACCGATGCCAGATGAGAACAGTCATCGTCGCAGTCCATACATGGCAGCTGCACAGAAAGGGGTGAGAGACATCAAAGCGACGTCGCACCTCGCGACAAAAAGAGTCGAAAGCTCTCTTGGCATATTTCCGTCGGGAGGGAGAGATTTTCTTTCTTTTTTTTTTTTTTTTGTTTTTTGGCGAAGAGCTAAAAAGCGAGACAGAGGCTGTACTTACACGCCGCTCGTGAAAATCGACAAGTCGAGTGTCTCTTTGTGTGCTGCGCTGCTGTGCTCGACTGCCGCGACGGAGATAGCTGCTGCTGCCGTTGCGCGCGCGATGGGCTATCAACTAGCTCGTGGGC